CCCTTTTGATATTCCTCGTCTGAGCTATTTGTTCCCCATGACTGATCTCGTACCTAAACCAGAGAGCAATAACTGCAGCCCTCAAGAACCATTTCTATCGAGATACTATATAATGAGTGCCGATTTGATATGAAGATGTGAAGAATGTTTATTTTCTATTCTAAGATTAATGATAGTGAACAACTTGTCGCTATCACAGTCTCAAACGACTACTCTTATCACATCACATGTTCATAGTGATGTTCACATTAGAGATCGATCCTTATTGATCTCGGAAAAGATCACACACTTCTTTGCATATCAAATTGACCCGCACCATGCTTCACACGATTCGATTTGAAGAGCGTTCCAAACTCCAAATGCGCCCAATGAATCTCACCGCTCGAGCTCCTGTTGGGCCAATCGTTGCTTAGATGCATCGGAATCATCCAGCAAACGCTGAACCATGTCCTCCCGATCAGCCAAGAACATATCATACCTGAACATAAGTCCGTGATAAGCCACAAGACGCCACCAAGGGCTACTCTGGAGTGCCGCTACAGTCGAACTTCGACTTGTTCATAACTTCGTACACTTTCCGTCGGGTCTGCGTCACTCGTTCGGCAACCAAATCTACTGAGCTCGAGAACCTAACACAACATCACCACTTGCACTCCCTTGCAAAGCAGTGTTGAGCGAATATATATAACATATTCGATATTTCACGAAAACATGCTAAGTAAGATGTGAAAATGTGCTAAGCTAAGGAAACCAATCATATAATACATTTTAGCACTCCTCAGCTAAGCTCAAGAATTTCGTATGAGAGTTTATATACGAGTTGTGGTAGTAGTGTACAAAAAACCAACAAGAATTCCCCCCCCCCAAAAAAAAATTCTTCAGGATTTCCATAAGATCATCGACACATGTAGCGAAAGCTCTTGATTTGCCCTACTCACTTCATCTGTCCTCGTTCGATAAGCCTGCCGCAGATACCGGTTCCTCCCACAGAGGCCCGACAGGTGATACGTGAGGAGAGGCAGAAAACTCGATGGAGACAGCTTTCACAATATCTAAAGCATATGCATGATTAACGGTCAGAATATTCACCTAAACCAATTTGAGCGAGTTTGGAAAATTCCTTGACAGATACAGATAACGCTATAGCAGCCACATATCTCAAATCATGATAAGTAATTCCCATTCTCGGGAAAGAATAAAAGCCAATTTTCCAGCTCACAAGTGGTCACTAAAGAGAGCTCAACAGGCCGTGTGGGAAAACATGCACATCGTCAACTGTGTGTTGGTGACAATATCAAAATTATGCAATTTCTTGTTGGGTTCTGTACACTTCTACTCCAAGTCGTGTGAGAACTTCTATAACTAATGAGAAAACTACTCAGCTCAGCTGAAGAAGACGAACATGTATTCCTACTCCAACACTGCCAAGCAGGTTGCCCACTTACGCATGCCCACAAGGAGCTGTATAAAAGCCCGTACCACCGCTACGGTCGCTAACAGCAGTACAATTACAACATACAGAAGCGTGCA